AAGCAATGTTGTTTTAATTTTTAAATTTTTTGGTTCACATGTTGTTTAAAAATTTATAGATAAGGAGAAAAGTGTTGCATCATCCTGCCTTGTGGGTAAAGTGGAGTAAGAAAATATTATATTGAGAGGCAGTTTTATATTTTTTTAACACAAGATTTCAATTTGTTCTAACACCTTCTTTCAAAAAAAAAAAAAAAACTAGTCTATTACTAACTATGTATTTAACTAACTAAACCAGAGTGTAGGTGAGAACCTATCTCAACCACACATTTCTCTTCCCATCCGATGACCAATATTAAATCTGAACACATTAACAAGACATATATTTTTCTTAGTTCATGACCCATGGATTTTCTGTTGCACTTTTACAATGAATGGTTCAGATTCATTCTATCATCTAACCTCACTTCATCATTTTCATCTGTCTCGGTTTATCTTTTTTTTGTCCAAAAAATTCGAAAAACCTTAAACTTTGACCATAAACTCTTTGGATTATTGCTTCTAAAATTTTAGATAGAAAACGGATCTGCGATTACGAATTCGACGAGTTGTGGTCTCTCCTCACTACACTTCATTCACAACCACAATAACACTTCTTCTAGTCATTGCCATGGCTCTTTTTTCAACAGCCACGATGATTTGAGATACCAAGAGATTGAAAAAAAGAATTAAAAATGATCAGTAGAGGATATATTCTATATGGAGGGGAGATTAAGAGATGGATGATTCAGATCTTTTCTAGCGTTGATGACAGAGTGCTCAAGCTTGCAGATTTTGGTGTATGTGATTGTAAAGTTTCGATCTTGTAATCAAGTTATTTCTTTTTTTTTATACATTAATGATACATTTGATGTTTGTCACATCTTTTGAGTTTATACCACTCGTAAAGTTTTGATCTTGAATCAAGTTTCAATAAAATTTGTTTGGCTGCTTGGTATATTAACATATAATTCCCAAAAGTAATTACGACATGAGCAGATTTCCAGATATAGTGTACACGTGAATATCATTACAACAGTGTATATGTGGACATCGTTAAAACATGTACCTTCAAACATAGGAACACATGGACATGTCAAACCGAGATCGTATCCATGTGGTTACTCAGTATACTCGTGTACACAAACATGATGCACATTTGTACATCTAATTTAAATTTGTTGATGTACTCTCTTTAAGAGTAGCTATATGTGTTTTTGAGATTAATTGTGTTTCTATAATGTGTTTATTTGTGTATACCTTGATACATATTTTGCTTTGTACATGTATATACCTTCATACATTTGTAGTTTGATTCACTTATGTGTACATATGTACACGTGCACATTGTGTACACAGTCAAGTCGTGTACTCTTATATGTACACATCACCCAACCCCATGAACTTTATTTAGTATCAGTGTATCCATCACACTCCATCAATTAAATATGTGCTCCAATGTATAATTATGCTTTAAATAATTTTTAGATATAGAAAGTATTCAAATAAATAATACATCATAAATAACCACATAATAATGAAAATAACCTAAAAAATGGGATATGAGAAATAATTTCTATGAAAGATGAGTTAAGTATCGTTTCTTCGATGTACATATAAATATCATTTACTGTGTACACGGATATAGTTACAACAATGTACAAAATTATATCTTTGAAACAGTGTACATATTGCTAAAGCCCACAACCACTATGCAACTTGTCTTTAATGAGTGGCAATTTTGTAAATTACATGTTTTTTTGCTTTTAGGTTACAAGGAATTCTGCAACTTTTTATTTGAGCCGCCATCAATTTCTTTTCCCTTAATCATCATTTTCTTTGTGATTTTAACACAAAAACTTACAATTTTATTTAGACTAACCAAAAATGATTAAAGAAACAAGATTTTTCAAAAAAAAAACAAGTTTTTGAATGATTATAACCAACACATTTTTGTCCATGTCCGCCAAGTGTTATTTCCTCGATTTCTGGCCACCACCGCGGCGTTTTCAAACACAGGTGACGTCGAGAAGAGTTAGGACACGGTGACAATGTGGCCGACTAGATCTCTCTCCGGTGAGAGCTTGTTGACTTTCTCGTATGACTCTTCACAAGAGAGGACGAGTAACATTTGTTTCTTTCTTTTTCTTTTCTAAATTTTTACTGAAATTCAAAATAAATTAAATTAAATTTATTTTTTTCTCTGGTTCACTACTCATTTTTAAATTTTAAAAATCTAACTGAACGAAAAGCGATCAATTAAAAATTCCAGCACAGATTCTTTTTTTGGGGGCAAGTTAACACTTTTCACTCATAAACTACCTTAGTACCAATAACTGTCTTAGAGTGTAAATAAAACTCAAAAACTGCCCCATAGTGTAAATGACTCTAATTAACCAAGTTTAATTTTCAGTCAGTTCAGGACTTCAAGGAGATAAATTTTTGAGATTATTATGTGGAAAGCATTATCAAAAAATAGAGAGGCGACGAAAAATATCTACCAAGTTTAAATCTTAAGCAGTAATACTACTTTACGTATGACAATTACAAAAACATGGGTTGCTTGATGGTTATTTCAAGACCCTATTATGTTATTGAAACGAGTATACAAAGAAATATTTCTAATCCAGTTGTGTGCGACACGAATGAGACGTAGAGGATTGGTTAGAGAGTTTAAAAGATTTATGCTATCAAACTAGACTAGTTCAAGTTATTGATAAACAAGTTTGCAATCAATTTCTTTTGATTCGAGTGATGGGGGGAGAGGAGAGATACAAATAGTGTTAAAATGTCATACTTTGCTGCTATGATGAATATTGCTATTAGTCTTAATTTTTATATATTTCAAATAATCAAATTAAAAAGTCTTTAATATTTAAAAAAATTAATTTGATATTAATTTTTATGAATATAATATCATATAATAACCATTGTAATCTAGTCAAGCGTATTAGAGCATCTCCAATGTAAAACTTCATTTTTTCCTCCAAAATGGAGTAAAAGAGAATATGAAGTAAAAATGCTCCAACCCCACTCCATTTTCCAATCCTTAATGGAGTGATGAACAAACAAAAAACAGATTACTCCATTTATGGAGTAAACTCTATTATGAAATAGAATATGGAGTAGGGTTGGAGTGTTTTCTACTCCATATTCCCTTTTACTCCATTTTAGAGTAAAAATGGAGTTGGGTTGGAGATGCCCTTAGTGTATTACAATCCAGAATAAAAATTAAAAATTAATGTGTAGTCAATAAAATAAAATATTTCTATATTAAGTCACAACGGAAATTAAAAGCACCGTACAGAAAGTAACCATGATTAAAATTGTTAAAACACATAAAAATTTGACTAAAAACTAAATAGGTAAAATATATTTTTATATTTAACAATATATAATTTTCAATTCAAGTCGAAATCTAACCATGATTAACAATTCAACATCAACCATAGTACTGGTAAATATAACGCCGTAATCAAGATTAAAATAATTGTGTTTAAGTAACTATTTGCCAATCAAAAGTGAAAGATATAATATATTAAAAGTATTAAGATCAATACATTCTTTTCAAATTAATTATTTTGAGAGATTATGTAAATTTAAATCTAGATATTATACTATATTACATTCTTAAGATAATATAAATATACATATAAAATATTTAAATGGATATATACCTGAAACCAAGGCAAATATATTAAATCTCACTGTCATAATATGTAGTAAGGTGATTTGGTTTCACTCAGAGTGCCCATGTTTGCTTTTATAGTCTGGTTGGCGATAAGAAATAAGCTATCCAAGGTGATCGTATGCACACTTGGGATCAAGTGCAAGGCTCATTTTTCTGCGGTGAACCAAATGAGACAAGAAATCATTTGTATTTTGTTTATCCATAATACTTATATAGTTATATGCTTTTGATAAAGATGGTAGTAATTTACTGAGAAGACCTCTTGATCTAGATTGGGACAATACTCTAACACACCTCACTGCCCACGTTTTCGACTACTTTGGTTACATTCTAAGTTAACGCAGTTAGTTTTTCAAGCTACCGTATACATGATTTGGTGGGAGTAAAATGATAAGAATTTTAAGAAACCAAGATAGATTAGCCATACTGCTCGAATCATTGACAAAACAGTGAGAAATGTGATCATGTCCTTACGATATTATGAGAACTCAAGTCTGTGAGGTCTACTCTAGTATTAATTCAGAGTTCATAACTAGTTAACCGCATAGAAATCTTTTTTCAAAAAAGAAAACTAGTTCACTGCTCAAGATGTTTAGCTTTATACATGTACATAATCATTCTTTTCATTAAGATCCAATAAAATTAACATTTCATTCAAAAAAACACTTTGATGAGAGACTTTGTAATGTGTTAATGTATAAACATAGCTACCATTATTAATATATTTAACTATGATCAAAACTAGAGCTGAAAATTAAGTAAATGGGTAGCATACCCCTTCTCGGTTGATCTTTTACAGAACAAATGTGGATCGACTGATGTAAAATTTTAATTATGGATAAAAGTGCAGATCAAATTTATTTTTTGTGGAATAAGTCCAAGTCAGTTTATTTTAAACTATAAATACATTTATTTTCTTTTAAAAAAGAAAAAAATATAATATTTATATTATTTTAGTTATAGAGATATTTAACTGTATTGTTTCAAACAATAATTATTTTAATTTTAATTTAAATTACATACGGATAGATCGAGATAATTAATTATAAATTTTAACAAAGTAGGTAAATTTGATCATTTATTATTTATAAATTATGTGAGCTAGATATTTGAATAGAAAAAAAGATTCAATATAGGGAAGCAGGTCAGACGAGACAAATTTAACTCGCTTTTCAACATTAATAAAAATAAAGTTGGTTATAATTAACTATGATTAAGACAATCATAGTTAATATAATCATGGTTAAAGTAATCATGGTCAAGTAACCATAGTTACTTAGAAAATGGAGAGAGACATGATAAATTTTGGAGACCCATACATTGTTAGAGTGTTCATAGAAAAGAAAAATCAGACTAGGGTTTGTAAAAAAAAAAAAAGAAGAGTATCTGACAAATCAGAGTGGGATTTGATTCAAATTTATATTCTTTACCCTCTCCCAACAGCGATTGGTATGTTTCCTCCTACTTTCATGGATTATTATCTCTTCTTCTCCTCTTTTTTATTAGCTTCCCGATTCTTAGATAAAACACAGATTCGGTTCCCCTGTAATGGATTAGGGTTTCGGTTTCCCTGTAGTGGATTAGGGTTTCGGTTTTTATCGTTACCGAATAGCGTAACTTGGGCTGTTTGATTTTGTACCGCTTTGTGTGTAGATCTGTTTCAGTTTTTTTTTTCGTTTTCAACTGTCTCGAACGTTCTCGGGTTTGATTGGTTCCATTGATTTAGATTAGGTTGTTTTTTGTGTGTCCGTAGTGATGAAGAGATTCAAATGCTACTGCGAAGAATTTTGATTGTGAATTTGCGTGGGTAGGTGAATTTGGGGTTTAGGTTTGTTTCTCTACTTGTTAAAGTTTTAAAGCTTATAGCTTTGAGTTGGCTTCTCAAATTTGTGTACTCCATCAGTGCTAGGGTCTTCTTGTTCTTTAGATGCTTGATTGCTCTAGATTCACCAGATTCGACCTTCCATAGGCTGTTTATAATTATATTTATCTGTGCTTTGCATAGTTCTTTGTATTTATTTGTGGAGAGGTAATCTTATAACTTCTTGCAAAGGATTGGTTTTCCCTCTTTTTTGTTCTTTTATAACCATTGTTACGGTAGTAGGGTCAAATAGGCTGATTGATTTTGGTGATGTGCATTTGTAGTTTTATCTAGTTGAGATACTAGGGTCTAGGGGCTTGGTGTAATCATGTAAAATCATTAGATCTGCTTATGTACAGACTGTTCTCTGAATCTATTCTACTTTGATTGCCCATTGAGACAGGTTGCCAAAAGCTGTGAGGCTTCTGGATTCTTAGGTGAGGAAATGGAATGCAACAAGGATGAAGCGACGAGGGCAATGAAGATTGCTGAGAGAAAGGTTACAGAAAAGGACTACACTGGGGCGAAGAAGTTCGCGAACAAGGCTCAGAGCTTGTATCCCCACCTTGATGGTCTGAAACAGTTGTTGATGGCGGTTGATGTTTATGTCTCCGGAGAGAAACTAATCAGTGGAGAACCTGACTGGTACGGTATCCTTGGTGTGGACCCCTTGGCTGATGATGAAGCTGTGAGAAAACAGTACAGGAAACTAGTTCTTTTGCTCCATCCGGATAAAAACAAATGCGAAGCCACCAAAGGTGCGTTTACGCTGGTTTCCGAAGCTTGGAATCTACTATCTGACAAGGTTAGGAGATACTCTTATAACTTAAAGAGGCAGGTTAAAGGAGCTCAACAACAAAGATTCCCAACAACACAGAGCACGCACCCATCAAGTTCTAACGGGTTCCAGAATGTAAGAGACCATGTAGCTCCGGGTGCTAAGGCTAGAACTAAGCCAGCTTCACGGATGGATCCGCCTGCTTTTGCCACTAGTACTTTCTGGACAATGTGCACCAGATGCAAGACGCAGTATGAGTTTCAGCGGGTTTATCTTAACCAGACTTTGCTTTGTCCACACTGTCGTCAGGGTTTTCATGCAGCGGAGAAAAATCCGCCTCCAAGTGTTCCGAAGCCAACCAACAACCACTCGTCTAACCAACATAAACGGAGTTCTAAAGTTCCAGCGACAAACAAGAACTCATCATATGGTACTTCTTCTTCCAGAGAGCCTGGATCATCTGTTAACAATGGTTTCCAGTGGGAGCCTTCATCAAGAACGATGGGATCCGACAGCAGAAATGTCATAAATCAAGCTGCTAATGTGGTTCAGCAAGCGCAAGCAAAGCTGAAGAGAGCGTTTGAGGAGTCACAAGAGAAGGATGCTGCTAGAGGATTCACAAACGCTGATCTGGAAAATTATAAGAAGATGAAGACAGATAATTCCCATGTGTTTGGTTCATTCTCATCCAGGTGGTCGAATCAAAACGGTCCAAGTAGGTTCACTAATCATGAAACGCCATCCACCTTAGGCTCTCGTCGTCCTCAGGTAGAAGGAATATTGTTACCCTATGATATGAAAAGAGCGCTCGTGAAGAAGGCACAGTCAGATATTTCTAAGAGACTTATGGCCGAAGCAGCAGAGAACATGAAAGCAATGGAAATAGAGGAAAAGAAGAAGAGTATGAAAGCAACAAGCAAGATAATGAGTAGCAGCAAGGCAGATGAGGTAGAAAAAAGTACTGAACCTGTCAACGAAGTTTCCAACGATGGTGAAGTGAAAGATATCGTTGTTCCGGATTCAGATTTTCACGACTTTGATCTTGACCGCACTGAAAGTTCTTTTCAAGACGACGAGATTTGGGCAGCTTATGATGTAGACGATGGGATGCCTCGGTTCTACGCCCGCATCCAAAAGGTGATCTCTGTGGATCCCTTTAAGATGAGAATCAGCTGGCTCAACACCAAAACCTGCAAAGAGTTTGCTCCAGTAGACTGGGTAGGCTTTGGTTTTGCTAAGTCATGTGGAGATTTCAGGACTAGTAAATACGAGTTGAATGATTCACTAAACTCGTTTTCCCATAAAGTCGATTTCACCAAAGGTGCAAAAGGACTCATCCACATTTTTCCCAAGAAGGGACAAGTTTGGGCACTGTATCGGCACTGGTCTCCTGACTGGGACGGTGATACTCCTGATGAAGTCAAACACAAGTACGACATGGTAGAAGTTCTTGATTACTACACCGAAGACAAGCAGAGTTTAACTGTTGCTCCCTTACTCAAAGCTGAAGGATTCAAGTCAGTTTTTCGCAGAAGCACAGATCAAAAAGATGTGAGAAAGATTCCAAAGGAAGAAATGTTTAGATTCTCTCACCAAGTGCCTCACTACATTCTTACTGGGAAAGAAGCTGATAACGCACCAGAGGGTTGTGTGGAGCTAGACACAGCTGCAATGCCTTGTGAGTTGCTTTCAGAGAATACAGAGGTGAAAGAGTCATCCACTGCGAGAAGCAAATCTGTGAAAGAGAAAAGCGCAGCTCCAGAGGAAGAAGAAATGGGTATAAATATAGATTAGGGTGGTGTCAAAGCTAGTAGCAAGCAATCAGTACAGTGTACAATTGAGGAAGTAAGCATATCAATCTCATATGGCATCATTACGGAACAAGACTAGTCAGGTCTGATCTTTTTGCTTTGATCTTTTATTTTGTTGTTTCTACAGGCTGACCCAAATAGAACTGGCCTTTTTTGGCACAAGAAACAATGTTTTTTTGTTTTGGATATTCGGTATTTACTCAGATAATCGTGTAAGAAACTCTCAATTCAAGATATGGAATGTATGGTGGTTATGGGTTTAAGCAACATTTTGACATGTCGTGAGTCGTGACTACATGATGTATGGTTACTGTGATAGGGTGTTACCGTGAAAAAGAAGTTTTATTTAGCTCTCCTTAGACTTTTTGAGTGAATTTTTTTCTTAAGTAAATCCATTCAAATCCGCCCGTACGTCTGTATTTTGAAGTCTTAGTGGGTTAGGTTCGTTTCTTAGCAAAGTTTTGTCGTCATGTTTTTAACTAAATAAAAAGCTCCGTGTGCTGGCACAAAAGGTTCGGCCCAGTTTCCATCTTACATAGACCTTGGCAAATAGACCGAACCTGATAACCCAACCGAGTCCAGTCTAATAAAGGTATGATTGGATTTGGATCTTTGTAAGAAACCGATATATCATGGATGTTCGGGTCAGTTTGGTATATATCTTAAATTTGATCGAGTTGGGAATATATATATGAGTTGTTTTTACATTAAAATTATTATTGTTACATATGAATTTTATTCTTTTCCCTTGTTAGCATAATGTTTGTATATGAGTTATTGTTAAGTTATGATTAGTTTGTAAAACAAATTTCTAAAACCAAGTCCATGTTTTACCTTAATGATTTCAGTCATCGACAAAAGTCACAAAGTAACTCATTCAAGTTACTTAGTATATTTAGAGTAGAAATGAGTGTCGCAGTTTTGACCAAAAAAAAAAAAAAAGAGTGTCGCAGATTGCTTAAACCACGTTTAGAACCAAACCCCAAAGTCCTTCAAACCGTTTTCACATGATTTATTAAATCCAGCGAAAATTGAGTATAAGTGAACTCAAACTACACCAATTTTTTTTTTTTTTTTATAACACTGAAGGTTGGACTTAACCAACACATGAAACATAAGATACATAATGGAAAATAAAATGGGATGACAGTAGACACCTACAACAAGATGAAAGGAATCTCATCCAACAAATCCCTTACTTTTGAGCCTCCAAAGCGAGAAGATGGTGAAGCCATGTCGGAGCTAGTCTGGCGATGTATGACTAATGACGCTGATCACGGGTGACACTTAAAGCAATTGCCGCTGCCGCGTCATTGCGTTCCTGAAAGGCATGTTCTAAGCTCCATGTGTCTATTCTGTCCAAAAGAGAGGCGATATTGTGGCGAATGAGGTTGAAATCATGGTTTTGCTGACATGCAGACTTTGTGAACACTTCATGGAGGAAATCGGACAATGTCTCAAAAATAATATTTGAGTAATGTAAATTATCCATACATTCGACCGCCCAAAATAGAGCCCATAAGTCTGCTTTTGTTTTTGTACGCATGTAAGAGTAAGCACGACGGATATGCATGAGCGTAACCCCATTTTCATCCCGTAAAATCCATGAAGCACCAGAAGGTTGATTAGATTTCACCCATGAGGATCCAATATTACATTTTATGAAACCAGAAGGCGGATGTTTCTATCGAACCATTTCTGTAACACTACTAATAACCCCCTCATTCCTTACTGTGAAAGTATCCCACCATACTGATTTTGCTTCATAGGCTTTCTTAGCCACGACCAAAGCATCAATGACTTTGTTTTCAAAAGTAAAAGCATTCCTAGCTTTCCAAATTTCCCACAGTGACCATGGGAAAACATTTCTAGTATGGCAATCCATATTTAAATTCTTGGCAATCTTATTCAGATGCACAAAATTTAAAAATGTGGAATTCCGAGAGAAACCTCCAGGAGGTATTGGGAAGTTCGATTGCTCCCATGTGGCTCTAGCTTTAACACATGTAAAGAGAACATGACATATACTCTCAACCCCATTACCACAAAAAGAGCAAGTTTGATCAATAGCAATACCCCGAGTCGCTAAACGTTGTTTAACAGCTAACGCACCAGATAAAGCACGCCACATGAAATCTTTAATTTTTGGAGGTGCCTTTATCTTCCAGAGGTCTCTCCACAAATGTTTTTAAATAGGAGTAAGAGAGTTTCGCAGAGGGTGTTCATAGTCCACCAAAGTCTCTGAAAACTTATACGCGCTCCGAGTAGAATAAGTCCCATTTGGCGTGAAACCCCATTTAAATGTATCCTGTGATTCCAGTACCGGTGTCAGAACTAGTATCCTTTGAACATATTGTGATGTAAACATACGATGTAACAAATTAACATCCCATTGATTTGATCCTTGTAATAGTAGATCAGAAACTTTTAATGCTAGATCTATGGGGCTATTTTTCCGGTACATTGGAGGTCGAGGAACAATATCAATAATCCAGTTTTCTGCCCAAACATTTGTATCCATCCCATGACCAATATGTCTGACCAATCCCTTTTTGAGTAGTTCTCTACCGTGCATGATACTCCTCCATGAAAATGATGGCCGTGTCCCCATACCACAATCAAGAAAATTCCCATTTTTGAAGTACTTGCCTTTAAGAATCCGAGAAACCAAGGAATCGAGGATCTCCTTGACGTATTCCTCTTTCCGGTTTAATAAACCCATGGGAGCAACCATTAAGTAAAACCGAGAAAGTGACAGTAGTAATGCATGACATTATCCACACGACCCATTTGCGCGCAAAACCCATTTTTCTAATAATACCTCGAGGAAATTCCATTCCACCCGATCATAGGCTTTAGACATACCTGTCTTTGTAGCCATACTTTCTCTACCAATTTTATCATTTGTTCGTAACCCATGAACTAATTCATGGGCTATAATGATATTGTCGGTGATTAATCTACCTTCAACAAAAGCTTCTTGTGTTTCAGATATTATATTAGGCATAATACCCTTCAAACGTTCACATAGAATCCGTGAAATAATTTTGTATTGGACACTACAGAGACTAATGGGTTGCATGTCCTTCATCTCCGTAGGGTGTAAAAGTTTTGGTAGTAGAAACAACTGAGTACGATTCCATCCAGGAGGAATAATGGCTGTATTAAAAAAACCTTGAACATCATCAATAATTTTCTGACCCACAATGTGTCAATATTTTTGGTAGAAAAAACCAGTAAGACCATCTTCACCAGAAGCACTGCTACTTTTAATACCAAAAGCAGCCTTCTTTATTTCCTCAGCCGAGACTTCTCTGATTAGTGATAAATTCATCTCAGAAGTAACCCTGCTTTCAAAACCATCGAACAAAGTATCTAAATCACTTGGATTGGAGCTGGTAAATAAATCTCTGAAATATTCCGTAGCTATATGCCCTTTAGACCCTTCCGAATAATTTTCATTACCAAAAATATCTCTTAGCATCAAAATCTTATTTCTTATTTTTTTTCCTTTAACCACATTATGAAAATAAGTTGTATTTTTATCCCCTTCCCGTAGCCATTCTTCTCTACTTTTTTGCCTCCAAAAAATCTCCTCTTCTCTATAGGCCATTGCCAGTTCCTGTCTTAATCTCCGTACCAAACCGTAAATAGGAAATTGTTTTGAGCTTTCCTTATCCAAATAACTTTGCAAGCGGTCTATCCTTGTTTTTGAATTCCAATCATTTTTTTAAGCTTGGATAATCCGACCGACATCAAGCAATACGATCCAGAACACTCAGATTTGAGTTAATGTTTTCTACATCCAATCCTCGAATAATAGCTTCATCTACGCCTTTTTTACCATACAAACGTCTATCAAAATAAAACCATCCCCTTTGCAAATTCTCAGGTTCTAAGGCAAATTCGACACGTAAGGGTTGATGATCAGAAGGCCACATACTCATATAATTCATAGACGATTGAGGAAAAAGACGAAACCATTCATCATTACCAAAGCTCCTATCTAGTCGACATTGTATCCAAATTATGATCTCTCCTACCTGCCCATGAAAGAATATTTCCCGTTGTCCTCATTTCCCGAATTTTACATGCCTCAACCATATTCCGAAAATAAAAAAAAGTTGTCTCCTCTCTAATAGGACCTCCTAATTTCTCACCATTATGCATTAGTTCATTAAAATCATCAACTAATATCCATGCCTCATCTCTAGTCACTCCAATCTCCGATAATCTATCCCAAACCACGCGTCTTCTCCTTCTTCCAGGATCCCCATATACACATGAACGAAAAAACACCATTGAACTCATTGTAACTTTTGTTGGGGTCAAAATCGGTACGGCGGAATCAATAGCCAAAATTCCCCGCAAACGCGTAAATGCAACAGTTTTATGAATCTCGAGAATCATTTTATAAAACTCGAGAGATCGTTTTATAAAACTCAAAGATCGTTTTATAAAACTCGAGAGATCGTTTTATAAAACTCAAAGATCGTTTTATAAAACTCGAGAGATCGTTTTATAAAACTCGAGAGATCGTTTTATAAAACTCGAGAGATCGTTTTATAAAACTCGAGAGA